CATGGGGTTCATTAGAGGCAGGTCCTGTCAGACCAACCTGGTGGCCTTCTACGACCAGGTCACAAAATCCTTGGACACAGGTGTCGTGGTGGATGTAGTTTTTCTGGACTTCAGGAAGGCCTTCGACACTGTCTCTCACCCCATTCTCATTAAGAAATTAGGTAACTGTGGCATTGATGCGTACACAGTCAGATGGGTCACAAATTGGCTGGAAGGCTGCACCCAGAGCGTGGTGGTGGATGGGTCCTTTTTGACCTGGAAGGATGTGGGCAGCGGGGTTCCCCAGGGCTTGGTCCTTGGGCCCGCACTGTTCAACATCTTCATCAGTGACTTGGACAAGGGGGTGAAAAGTACCCTGTTCAAATTCACGGATGACACTAAGATGTGGAGAGAAGTGGGCACGCTGAAGGAGAGGGAGAGGCTGCAACTAGATCTAGACAGGTTACAGGGGTGGGTAGATGAGAACAGGATAGGATTCAATACTGACAAGTGCAAGGTACTGCACCTAGAGAAGAACAACCTGCAGCATACCTACAGGCTGGGGAACTCCTTTCTAGTAAGCACAGGGGCAAAAAAGGATCTTGGTGTCATTACTGATTCGAAAATGAACATGGGCCGCGGTCAGGAAGGCTAACCACACCTTGTCATGCATCTACAGATGCATCGTGGGCAGGTCCAAGGAGGTGATCCTCCCCCTCTATGCAACACTGGTCAGGCCGCAGCTGGAGTACTGTGTCCAGTTCTGGGCGCCGCACTTCAGGAGGGATGTGGGCAGCATTGAGAGGGTCCAGAGGAGGGCCACTCGCATGATCAGGGCCCTGCAAGGCAGGCCATACAAGCGGAGGCTACAGGACATGAACCTGTTCAGCCTCCAAAAGAGAAGGCTGGGAGGGGAACTGATGGCTGTCTACAAACTGGCCAAGGGGGACCAGCAGGCTATGGGAGAGTCCCCGTTCCCCCCGAGCACTACCAGGAGTAATGAGGAATAATGGCCATAAGTTGACTGAGAGTAGATTCAGGCTAGATATCAGGAGGCACTACTTCACAGTCAGGGCGGCTAGGATCTGAAACCAACTTCCAAGGGAAGTGGTGCTTGCTCCTACCCTGGGGGGTCTTCAAAAGGAGGCTAGATAATCACCTAGTCGGGGTCGCTTTACCCCAGCATTCTTTCCTGCCCAGGGGGTCAGACTCGATGATCTGCTCAGGTCCCCTCTGACCCTGCGTACTATGAAACTACGTGTAGACATGCCCAATTAGTCGTAAGTTGCATCTTATTTCTAGTAAAAATGTGTTAGTTCAATCACTGGATCTCATTATGCTTTATGGGACTGAAACTATCAAAAAATAATTGCTTTTAAAAACCTTTTGTTATGTCTCAGCTTTTCATGCCCAAAATATATTTTAAAAACAAACCTGCTTTTTCTGAGTAAGAATTAGCTCATTCTGTTCCTGAAGCCTCTGCCCTAGCTCCTCTATCCTCTTCTTATAAAAGGTATTGCTTTTATTCAGATCCTCTGTCATTGATGATTTAAGCTTCTCAAGCTGCAACAGAAGCTAAAAAACAAGTAGTGGGAAAAGTAGCTTGGTAAAAACAGTGCATAAAATGTTTTAATATTTTATTTTTTCAAATAAGCAGAATTTTGGTATAAATCCTTCTCTCTAGGAACCTAATCCAGAAAAGTATTTAGCCATGTGTCACTTCATAGGGACTTATGAACGTACTATAGTGCTTCCTGAACCTTGGTCTTGATGACTTTTCATTTTCATGGAGACTATACAAAATTATAGCACATAGAAAAATATGTACATATAGATTGTGAACACAGTCTGAAAGTAGGACATACAGAAAAACGTATATTTATATCAAAATTTACATTTCCATTTTTGCCAAATGACACTATTTTAGGGTAAATACATCAGAATTTGGGCAATGTATACAATTGGCTTGTTTGTCCATTTAGGCTTAATGAGTACTGGGGATCAGCATTAATGAGACAAATTAAGTACATCCCTTCTGAGGGGTTTCTGTGGCTCTTCCCAGCCCTTACCAAGGGAAGAGTGGTATTGCCCATGTAGCCTCTGATCTATTTCCGTTGTAATTTGGACAGTTCCTACTTTCACATACAGATCAACAGGAAATGAAAGGAGAAAGAAAAAGAGAAAGAAACTTAGAGAAGGAAGGAGATATAACTATAACGGAGAAAGCCTCAGATATTAAAAAGGTTAAGGAAGAGAAGGATGGAAAGTAAAATACATGAATTAATGCAAACTTGACATTCTGTGATGGTGTTTTTCCTAGGACTGCTCAAAAATACTGTGCTAAATAGTCAAAACAGCTTTAAAAAAAGGTTTAGGGCTTGAGGGTCCTGCACTGGAAGAAGCTTCCTACTGCAGGTCCCAGATAGATGAACGTTTGCATTTTCAGATGATGTTATATTTAACTAAGCATCATATCCATAATAAGTATGAAAATATATTGTGTACCACCACTTTATACATTTGTGAAAATATTATATACTCTTCAGGCATGTATATACACAAACTCTTTTACAGTTAGAATAGTTCCCTGATCTTGACTGTTATCTTCTGGGTGCTGCCACTAAATAAACACATAGAAAAGTAAACAACTCTGCCTACTCATAGGACTTACTCTGAACATAAATTATAAATATCTGCATTGTCTAATCCAGGAGGTATTGCATGCTAACTGCATACATTCCATCCATGAAACACTCTCCTTTATTCTGTTTGCTTAAAAATGTGAAAAACGTGCATGTTATTTTAAGAATACTGCTATGCAGCCTGGAGGCATGATAGCAGAGCAGTTAAGGTGTTTTGGTATGGCTCCAGATGCATGAATTCAAGCCCTTCTGTGGACTTAAGCTAAAGGATTCCACCTCCCCCCCAGTCAAACTATGTATAAATGGTTACTTAGTCATACAAGCTGAGGAGTTGAGCAGCTGGAAGTTACAGCTTGCTACACTGTTCTCCTGTGCCACTAGGTACAGCAATAGGGGTGCTCTTACCTGGCCCTTTTCTTTTTCATGCTCCTGATGAAGAGTTTGTACTCTAGAAGTCCATTTACTCTCCTATATAAAGGAAATCAATGTCAATTTTCACAATTGTATTTGTATAAAAATTGGTTAATAACAACCTTAAAGTAGAGAATGTGCTTGAAACAAGACTAAAATTTTTTAAATTCAGTAAATTCATTACTTAAAACAGCACTGAAGTGCCTCACATGTTTTAGTGTCATTAGGTTATTAAACATCCTGGAACTATTATATTTGTTCATAGTAACCTTGATTTGTATATTTGGGCAGCCAAAAAGGGGAGACTATGTGGGGCCAGGAGGAGGAGAACAAACCAGAAGCTGCTCGTCTCAGTGGCCACATCTACACATGTGCTTTACCACGGAGTAGACTATTGACTGCGGAGTAAAGCATCACTGGGTATGTCTACATGAGACACTTTACTGCACAGTAAACTAATTTACTGGGCAATAAGCGTCAACGTCTACACGTGCAGATGTTTGCTTCACAGTATACTGGTCTACTCCTTGATTAGTTTGCTATTTACAAATGCAGGTAGCAAATTAACTGTGGAATAGTTACTGAACAGTAAGACACGTGTAGACGGCAGACTGGAAGCAAATTTGCTCTCAGTCAGCTAGGGAGCAAAGGGCAGAATTTCCAGGGGAGGGGACTTTTCTCAGCCCTGTGCCCCAATCATGAGGCTGGGAAAGAGCTGCGGGGAAGGGGAAAGCTTGGAGCTGGCTGGGACCTGCCCCAGATGGGTACAGGTCCTGGCCAGCCATGGAGAGGCCCCTTTGGGCACAGAACTTGTTCCCATATGCATGGGGCGGGAGAGGTCTGCAGCAGCAGCTCTCTCACCCCGTGCACATCAGAACCCCATCTCCTGGCTCTGTGCTCCCTGCCAACCTCAGGGCTAGCACCCAGGGGAAGCCTGGAGCTCTCCTTGGCTGCTGCAGGGAGGCAGAGCAGGGTGGGAGCAAATCTGCTCCCCAGTAGGCTTACTGTGCAGTAAGCCTACTTCAGATTAACTGCACATGTAGACATGCCCATTGTCTATACATGTGATAGTATTAGGCCATAGTAAACTAATCTATACTGCAGCAAGATAGTATTGTTGGGGACACTACTATTTTAGCTGAGGTAATTAAAGTGCAATTAAACGCGTATGTAGGTGCTGACCGTGGGCATAAACTGCACCAGGTTAGCCCAGCCAGCAGCAGGCCAGACTACTACCTGCCATCTAGCCACACAGCTTTGCATTTTCAGCACCCTTGTGCCCCAGGCACCCCTCCACCACTGCCACCCAAAGCCTGGGGCTGTGCCCCCTGCTAGCCCAGGCCTGCTCTGCCCTAGCCCAAACTACTGCCATCCCGGGTGCATGTGTAGATTCTGCACCCAGGAGTAGTTTACTCTTGTTCAAATTCCTCCTGAGTTTATTGCTCTGTATTAATTGCACACGTAGATGCACCCAGTGAGATAGATGCTGCCTTGGAGGAGAGAGGGTACTGGTTTCTCACCTGGGTCCCTGATCCCAGTGCAACAGAAACTTTCACAGTGCTGTTTAGCCATTTTACCTGAAGAATAACAAATGCAAGGTGCACCAGGCCAGCTTCAAGAGGAGAGTTAGAGAGAGGGATCTGAGCAAAGCCTAACCTATAGCTCCCTGGTTAGAGCACTTGGCTAGGAAGCAAAAGACACAGGTTCAAATCTTTTCTGGTTCAGAACAGAAGTGTAGGGCAGAAAGTTTTCCAGTGCTTTATCTTTCTGTGGGAAATTTTCCATTTCTAAAAAGCCATTGTTTCAAAGATTCATTAGTAATAATGAATGGATAAAAATACAATATTAGGCAAGCTTGGCAGTTTCAAAGTTATAATTAAAGTTTTTCAGATACTTATCCCTAGGAAGTGAGAGAGAGTACATATATCTTTTATTGATATGTAAACAGGAGGGTAAATACACTTACATAATAATCCAAACCAAAAATCAAGGTATGAATTCACCTAATTGGCTGTACAAGTCAAATCAAAACCAAAGCTAAAATTCTTATTTCATCTCAGGCTGCAAGTGAAAGGAAAACCAAAACTAAACCTGTGATTAATTTTTGTTTCACTTTCAGTTCAGCAAGCACACAGAGTAGTGTCTCATTTCTTTTCTTGAGCTGGGGGAAGTTGGAAGTGTTTGTATAAGATCTGTTAGTTTTTTTAGTGCTTTTGGTTTGAAATAGTCATCATCATGCCTAATCAGCAAAAAACTAGTGCATGGCATCATTATAGTGAAGTTCAAGCTATTAAAGGAAGGAAGAAAGCTGGTAGATGTAAATACCTCAGGCAGGAGTATGCTAACAACACAACAAGAATGAAGAAACATTTAAAAACATGTAGAAACTGTCCTGAAAGAGTAGAAGCCATACACAGAAAGTTAATTCGAACTGGTGGAGCAACATCATCTAAGAAAAGTCTACTTCAGGAATCCTAAGTAAGTAAACAAATTAATATGTTAAACAACAGACAGTATAGACTAGCAACTATATTGTTTTGAAACATTAACAACTTTTAAAATTATAATGCAACTCTGAACTATTATTTATTTATTTAAAATATTTGTATCCTGTTTTTCTGCTTGCATACCCGAAGTGACTCAAGCTTAACAATATATATTTTTTAAATTACATAATAGATAAATAGTTAACTATTTCAACCCAGCAGAGTGTGCTTAGCCCTCTGGCTGATGGCAGAGGCCAGACTATACTGCTCTTTGGCTCTGCAGCCCCAGGGGAACTGAGCAGCAAGTTGAGCAGCAGAGTACTCTTTCTGGCAGGGAGGGGAGAAGCAAGCTCCCTGCTGCTTCTCCTTCTCCTTCTCATGGATGAGGCCAGACTAGAATAGGGTAAAATAAAAATCTTTCCCCCCCATTTTGTTGCAGGAACTTGATAGCTCAAATGAAATAGCAGATTTGCAAAAAACAGAAAATGAAAATGTTGAGCTGCCAGGGCTGGGGGAAGAAGTAGCAGGATCCTTGCTTTCAAGATCACTGTCACCAGATATGCGATCCACCATGAGTAGCTGTTCAAGACAGTCAACCTGTTTTCTCAAGCTTTGTGGACATAATGTCAAAAGAAGATCAAGAAAAAGCAGATGAGACATTAGCTTGATCTATATTTGCAAGTGGCATACACCTCTTTCCATAACTGAAAATCAATACTGGAAGGAACATTACAAACTAATTCGTCCGTCATATAAGTTACTGTCACGTTATCACTTATCACATTCTCTCTTAGACAGAGAGTATGACAGAGTTCAAACAATGGTTATTCAAAGAATTGGTCAAGCAGAATCACTGACTCTGACGTCAGATGAATGGACTGATATACAAGGAAATCCTTTACTGAACATTATGTTAGCAACACCTGAACCAATATTCCTGAAAGCAATTGCTACCAAAACCTTCTTGTCATACAAGTGAATACATAGCAAAATTACTGAGTGAAGAGATTGAAAGTGCAGGTCCCTCCAGGATACGAGCCCTTGTAACTGATAACGCAAGTAACACAAAAGCTGCATGGCAAATATTAAAGGAAAAGTATCTCATGTAATAGTATTTGGCTGTCTTGCTCATGGGTTGAATCTTCTGGCAAAGGACATAGTAAGTGTGAATAAAATGAAGACAATATTGGCAAACTGCAAAGCGATTGTAAAGGTATTCAACAATCATCATTTTGTTAATCAGACTTTGAAGAAATTACAGAAAGAGAAGCAGGGGTAGGAAAGTGCATTTTTATTGCCAGGAGAAACTAGATGGAGCTTCGCTACAAAGCATTTACATAGTTTGCTGTGCACAAAGAACTGTTTGAAGTGTGGTTCAATATATGACACAGTATCCCAGATTATTTCTGTGAACATTTGGAAACAGATTCTCAACAACGATGCCTTTTGGATTCGAGTTCAAGGAGCATTCAGTTTGGTACTACCAGTTTCAGTGGCTATCAAAAAACTTGAAGGAGATACACCAAGCCGTTCGAATAATCCAGAAGTATCCAGACAACTGAATGAAAATATAATTGAGCTTTTGCCTCCTTTACCTCTATTCAAAAAAGAAGATGTAAAACAAATGTTTATTATGAGATCTGAGTTTTGCTCTCATCCAGTTCATCTGGTAACAAAACTTCCATCCTCAACACAGAGGACAACATTTATCAGAAGATGAATTATCTACTGCTCTTGATACAATTATGGAAGTAGCTAAGAATATCCCCAATATCGACAAAATAGCTGTGATTTCATAGATTTCATAGCCATTAGGGCTGGAATGGACCCTGGTGGATCACTGAGTCCAGCCTCCTGTCCCAGGGGCAGGAAGTCAACAGGGATCATAGGATCCCAGCAAAATTAGCATCCAAATGTATCTTGAAGGCATTCAAAGTGGGTGCTTGAACCGCCTCTGGCGGCAGTCTATTCCAGACCTTAGGGGCTCAGACAGAAAAGAAGTTCTTCCTTATGTCCAGCCTGAATCAGTCGTGGCAGAGTTTGTGACCGTTCAAACTTGTCATCCTTTGGGGTGCTCTGGTGAACAGATGTTCCCCCATATCCTGATAAGCACCCCTGATAAACTTATAGGTAGCCACCAGATCACCCCTGAGCCTACACTTTTCTAGGCTGAAGAGTCCCATGGCTCTCAGCCTCTCATCATAAGGTCTATTTTCCTGACCTCTGATCATGCGCATGGCTCTTCTCTGCACTCTCTCAAGTGATGACAGCCATTGCTGAGTACCGTGCAAAAGAAAAACTTCAGAGCAAAGACATCATTTAGCAGGCAGCAGAGAATATGTTTCCTCTCACAAGGTGGAAGGGATACTGTAACACCCACCCGACTGTTGTCTAGGATTGCTCTAAGGATCCTAAGCATTCCACCAACAGCAAGGGCTCAATCTGGTGTCCAAAACCTTACCTGGTCCAGAGACTGGCCTTGCACCACTCATCTGGCCTTTGGGGCCAAAATGTTGTAACCCACTGTTGAAACCCCTGTGTTAGAATACAACTCGTTTTTCATCATGTTACGATCATTAGAGCTACTTCTCATTTTTCAATTTTTAAATGTATTTTAACAAAGCAGCCTCCAGAGGCAGATGCAAATGGTTTATTTGACTTCTACCACTACATTTCTTTCAGAGTATATTCGTCACACCTTAGTATCCGAGTCAGGTGTGTCTAATGCCCTCTTCATGCCATGATAAGAAACATTTTCATTACAGAAATTATTAATGGTACTTAGTAAATAGGCGTAAATCAGAAAAGAAACAACTACTTCAGAAAATAAGAATTACAGAAATTTTCCAATCTTATTTGTTGAAATACAAACAGAGAGACTAAATAATTGGCGAACCTCATAGTATTAGACTGCTACCTGTTTTTCAAGAAGTCGCATCATATTTTGATAATCCTGAGTATTCTGAGATTTCTCTTCTGTAAATTCTTGGCTGTCTTTTAAAGTGCCTAGATTGGATTTCAGCTGCATATCAGACTGCTGTAACTCTAAGAGCTGCTAAGAGAGGGGGAAATGTCTGTTAAAGGCCAGTGCCAGTACATAATAAAAAATGTTACTGTAGGTTGCTATTTAATATGCAGTTTACTTTAAAAAGAACTGTACAGATTCTCCTTATAAACGATTCTAAATAACAGATATAGTGTGAGAGTAGGGATGGCAAAAGAAAACAGCTCTACTACTTTTATGTGCATTACTTTTCTGACTTAACTATATTCTCACAATTTTTCCTCTAGACAAAACTCCAGGAAATACTTCTTTTCATACTAAGGAAAGCATTCCATGTCATTCTACTCCTTTAGGACTTTCCTAGGAAGGCGGTTCCTTTTCACTGAAGCTTATGCTCTCTTTATTTTGGTAGATGCCAAAATAGACATAAATAATATGTTATTAACCAATCCCAAAACAAGAACTCAGAGGTCAAGGCAGAAGGGAATACCATTTGTAGATCTGGCAGTCCAAGTGGCAGCCTGTGGGCCACATGTAGCTTATTACAAGTTAATTTGAGGCCCCTGGGTTCACACCCAACCCTCCCCCTGCCCCTCCCCCACACACCCCTGACTGCAGTAGCACCAGGGGTCTCTGCTCTTCCACTCTCTCCTCTGATGTCCTCTTCTTGCCCTGATCCCAGGGGACAGAATGGTATGGTGCAGCACAGCCCATAGTGCCATGGATATGAGCACAGGGCACGGGGTTCCCAAGTAGCACAGTGTACCAGAGAATCCTGAGGCTAGGGAACTGAAAGTGAAGCCAGGGTGTCTGTATGCACAGCATAGCAGGGGAAGGGGTGTGACTTTGAAGGCCAGTGGCTTGCACTGGTGCATCTCACAGGCATGCAGCCCCCACCTGCTTAGAGATTAGACCCCTGATAAAGATTACAACCATACCTAAGTCACCTAATAAATTTAAAAGTTTCAGAGCAAACTAGGGCATATGGTAGGTTTCAGATGAACCAAGATCACTGCATCACAGTTCACATTTACAAAAAATCCATATTTAAATTACTTACGTGTTCTAAGCTTGTATTTCTTGAAGCTAGTTCTTTGAACTCCTGCATAAACATCTTTTTCACTTTTTCTATTTCATTAGCCAATTTTTCTTTTTCTTCCTCTTTCCATTTATAAAATGCTTGCAGTATTTCTTCTTCTTTTGATTTTTGTTGTTCGCATTCCTGAAATTATTTTAAAATGTTACTCGAAGAATTGTCTCACATAAAACACAAATGCAAATCTCGAAAGAAGAAACAATTATACTTATATTCTCCAAATATTACTGTTTAACTGCAACATCCATTTTTAAACAAAAAAACTTTCCCACTGGAATCAGTTTGTTTGTTTTTTTTAAGAAAACATCACACTAAAAAACCCCACATGCTTGTTCAAACAAAGAAATTTTGCTTGCACCATATTCATCTGTTAATGTTCAACCTCTAATTTTGTGTTTTGTATATGTTACTACTACTGTCTTTAATATATCAGAGTAAAGTAATGGGAAGTTCTACCTAAAAACTGTCAGCATGAGAACAGCCCACTGATTTCAAACATACTGAAACATGTAAGAATTAGAAAAAAAGAACAACGTAAGACAACAAAGTCTAACCAAGTTTCATCATATACACAACTCTTAAGAAATGGTCACACTGCACAGTTCAGATTATTAACGTGATAATGAAGCAAAGTGCAATCCACTATCCTAATGAAAAAGTAGGGAAGCATGTAATCGATCCAGCATGGACTGCAACAAGTCACTCAAAAATTTTTGGAAAAAAAACAGCAATTTTAAAAGACTAAGCTAAGCAGGGCACCTTAGCTTAGTAAGTATAGCTGCCCCTCATATAAATGGACAAGAAAAAGGGTCTTGAAGGTTCACTCTTGTTAGTATCATTGTTTTGAATACAGCATCAGGGAAGTAGTAGTTGCCATCTACTTGTTGTTCAGTGCTTAATATATATTGAAATAAGCTGGTAGGCTCAACTATCAGTATGCGCCAGTGAACAAATGTGCTTAACACATGCTACTAAACAGATGTGTAACTGGGTGCTGCTTGCTTGGCTGCGGCACACAGATCAGCATCAATAGCTAGCACAAGGGTCCTGCCAGTATAGCAGCTGCTGATATTTTTGTACCACCTCCCAAGGACTTGTTAGATCCAGATGAAATGGGGGAAAACCCCAAAAGGAATCCCCTGCCTTCTGGCAGATGTCATCCTGGAGCTTCTCCTCAGAAATAGGATCCTCTACTTCCTCCTTCATGAGATCTGAATGATGCTAGGAGGCCTCAGGTTATTCCCTTACTATTAGTAGCCCCACCTCTCCCCGCTGCACAAGCCTCCAGCAGAGAGTCACTTCTTTTGCCACTTGGTCGGGATTACCCAAAGAGTGGGAAAGGGACAGCAAGCAGGACATAACCTTCCCCTGTAGGCAACAGTGGCATTGCCCAGGAAGACTTCTTGCCTCACTCCACTGATAGTTTTAGCCTTTTCCTACAGCTTGTCCTGCTGTATGTAAAGTATGGTGCCTTCAAATGGCCAGAATAACTTGTCCCAACATAACTTAATTGTTATTACCGAACAAAGAAGCAGCCAGGTGCAATGACACCATTAGAAAGTGGGAAACTGACTGCCAGCTTGCAGAAGGAGTTGGCCGAGCCAAAACTTTCCTTCTATATTGGTTGTCATCTGCCAAACTGACAGCAGAGATGACACAGACTGGGTACATACATAAACACAGAAAAGATACTGTCATCTATAGGAAATAAAGCTGAACCTCTCACAACAGGCTATTCCTACTAGCTAGCTTCAGTAGCCGATTCGATTCGGAGAAGATTCGGCCCAATTTGGGGATTAAATCTCCGAATCCAAATCAAATTGGGAGACCAATTAAGAGCTCTGAATCAATTGAAACCATCCAAATTGATTTGGAAAAGTTTCAGAAAAGATTTGTCCGCTTTGGAGATTTGGCCATAGACTAAACAGGCAGCTGACACAGCTGCCTCCAGCTGGTAAGCCTGTTGGGGCTGGGGCAAGCTGCCCAGCTGGGGCGGGGAGGGGGGATGCATTACTCAGGGAGGGGAGCATGGGGGGCTGTGGGATATGGGTGAGGTAGCACTGGGAGCAGGGGCTCTGCCCTG